CTTGTCCATCTAACCATCTTCTTGTCCCTGTGTTTCGTGTCCGAAACTACTGAATGGATTTTGATTAAATTTGATAGAGGAAGCCCACAAAATATACACCTCCCCTTTTACATAAACAGCCATGTCTGCAGTATGTGATGCCCTGAATCTCGTTCAAATATCAATAAGAAACAGACTCGCCTGTTCATCGATTCACACATTAAAACTTATTGACGTTTGACTATGTTTATTCAAGACATAATTGTAAGGGAATAAGAAGTTGAGAGATCCCCCTAGCCCATATTATGATTCCCTATCGTCATAATATACGCCCCTGACAAATTTTTCGTGACAGCCTACCGTAGCCCTTAATAAAATTACACAAATCCTTCCTGGCGTAGTTTTCCATTTATTTCGAAATAGTTAATGTTAAAAAAAGACTTCGCTGTAAACGAGTAACATTCAAACTTTTCTAGGACTGCTTGTGGCTCGCGATCTACTGTGTGCTTACCTCTCTAATATATAATCGTCAATAATAATACTGATCTATGTACATTCTGAGCAGCAAACGTAATAAAATAACACAGATTAACACAATGCGAAAGTGTGGCATGAGCCCTAATATGGGCAGTGATTCACATTAGATTTTTTTAAGGGGTCGCTATTGGGCACCTGAAGGTCTGAAAGTGTAATCATTCTGTTCCCTATTGCAGTATAGCCCCTAAGTACGCTTTTGCAGTAACCATGATACAAAACACATAGAAGTATCATCTGTGACATGGCATTGCTGTTCAGTGTTCCTCCCGTATTACCAAGATTGGTCCCTCATAACAAATGGAAGAAACTGAAGGCTTATATGGGGCACGTCATAAAAGAAAGGTTAAGCTTTTCCTACGTATAACAGACCATAGAGGCCCATAGGATTGTGAGACGTTGAGGCTCCAACATTTTCTAGACAATCGGCTTACAGATGGCGATGAGGTTGTCAGCCTTACGCGCCTGCTGCCGTTTAGCCCCCAGGAAGATTCCTGGTACTCATTTTTGTTTGAGGCTGATTCGACCCCAGGATCATAGTGCGATTGAACGGATTCAATCATCGGGAATCGAACCCGGAACCGTCCGGCTTGTATAGCAAGTGTCACGTAACTTCGAACAAGGCCAAGAGTAAACTTGAATGCGCAGAAGAAAAATTTGTCATTTCTCACACCCTCGAACCCACTCCCTTGTCTGAAATTTTTCTTCTGCGCATTCAAGGTTACTACTCTTGGCCTTGTTCGAAGTTACGTGACACTTGCTATAGCATAGTGCCTCAACCAACTACGCTACCGCGTGCCCCAGACACATCATAACACGGTTATTTTAATTTACTCATTCATGAGCACGGATCCTATATAAATGCAGAAATGCACATTAATATTGTAACGTGTCTGGAATCCAGAAGTCACTTCTATGGAAACGCTAGAACAGACCGTTGCATAAGAAGTAACAATAGCGATACTGTAATTCCAACAGTGAGCTGTTGTATCTAGAACATCGAATCTCGACGGTAACGACAAACAAAGCAACGTCTCCATGGTTATAACGGAGGGCTCGTTGCCTAACAGCGGGCAAGGTTATAAATAGCCCAGCTTCTGCGAGAAACAGTGCGTCTCGGAATAGCATTCGAAGGAGTCAGTCGCGGAACAGCCATCGGAGAAGAAGCTTCGGAATATCCGTCTGGGTCCAGTATCGCCGGAATATTGTAAGCAGTGATTGTGACACTGCAAGTGAAAATGCCTGTAAGGTGTGTGTAAATGAGCGAAAGAAATAAATTCGCTATATTGGGACAACGGCGTGAACTTATTTGTCGCGTGACACACAAACACGCTACAATATTTTGATTCCTTTTATATTTTTCCACCAAATTGTAGGCACACCATGTTTTGGAAGATTTTGCTATAAAATAAAGTAATGCTGTAAATAACTCTGAAGCCCCTGGTCACATTTAAACTTAAATGTGGAGAGAAAAGAAGTAGAAAGCTAGAAATTAAGGGGTCATTCCAAGCCAATGGCCTGTCACGTCAATTACGGCCATAGAAACTATTCACGACCTGAGCAACGCTTACTAGCCTGGATATTCATGAACGAAATTGTTGTTTCACATTAGATAACAAGTCACGTGAACCACTGTAGTCAAGAACCGCGAGATTTTGGTTTTCCGGTTAACTGAGACCTGCATCATTTCGAAATGCATCTTGGAGGTCCTCCAGATCAAGGATTTTAATTCTGAAAAATTCAAAACGACAGGACTACATGAGAAGCATGCGGCAGCAGACTTTGGTTAAAGAAAGACGGAAATCTTGAAGCAATGAATCGACATGTACGACCAGAGGACCAACTTCCTGTCTGATTTCGGTGTCCTAGAGCGGACCTAACAGAGAACGCCCAAGACTCCGTTCCCCTGCTGGCATGCACGACTGCAGCAGCCGCTGCTCCGATGGCATGCGTAGGCTTTCTCAATATAGTGAAAATCCTCATTGACATTTTTAATGGAATGTTAATCCTGTGATGCTTGAATTTCTTCCGAATAATATTTACATATTCATTTCCTACTTCACACTATTTTAAAAAGACGACCCTGTTAATGCTGTTTGGAAAATTATCCGTTTTTTAGTCTGAGACTCTTACGTAGCATTTAAATACACTGTTTCGGCAAAATACAGAGTTTATTAATGTTTAAGTTTGTGGTACATATCGTAACCATTATGCTTTAAGCGATTAGTAGGTGTTTCAATGTATATCTCTTTTGTTTTTACGGTGTGTGGCGGTTTGCAAATCTAGAACTGCAATAAAACACACAGAAACCACCACTAAATCAGTAGTTTAAGAGTCTTAGAGAAATCATCGTTAAACAAACTCGGTAACTGTCTTAATGAGAAGATTCAGTCTTTATGTTAGTCTTATCAGCTCCCTACATTAACATGGATTTTTCATGTAAAGTAAATAATTCATTCCATTATGATGGTGTCACATCAAAGAAGTTATTTCTCTTCATAGTTTGAAATAAATTGGCGTAAGCCCATAAGTAAACAGATACTAAGAGCTGTTATATTAACAGCCTTAGGGCTGTTGGCTCAGCACATAAATACTAAAGAATTGAATTGAATTGAATTATTATTATTATTATTATTATTGTTCTACAGCCCTTTGTTGGGCCCTTGCCGCTTTTTCAGTTTCTTGATCCTATACACATTAGGTAGGACCCCTTGGACGGGGGATCAGGCAGTCGCAAGGCTTCTACCTACACACAGAACAACACAAACAGAATAAACACATACAGACATCCATGCCTTGAGTGGGATTAGAAATCACGATCCCAGCGTTCGAGCGGACAAAGACAATCCATGCCTTAGACCGCGTGGTCATTGTGATCGACAGTGTTGCTCTGTGTCAGTGTCTAATGACTTTGTTATGTCTGGAAGTTCTAGAGAACTGCGTAGTCTGGTTATCTACCTAGGTAAAGAATACGAGGAAAGTAAATGCTGTTAAATTGATTTAACGGATAGTTTATAAACATGGCTTTTACCTGTTGATTGTAACTTGATCCATCTGTAACTGTCGCACGGTGTCTATACACGGGGTTGCACATCGAAGTCAAATACAGGGTTATTCGTAAGTCCGTGAATCATTTTGAAAATTTATAATAAATAAACTACGCAACGGATACCAAATTTGATTACACTGAAACAGAGATATACTCGCCAAGTTTTTTTTTACATAGTTCACAGATGCTGAATATGTCCAGCTTTGCTGTTACGGCAGACATCTTTGCGATAATCCATTTCGTCCCACACCCATGTCAGCATATCACGGTTGGCCAGAGCCGCAGCAGCGGTGATACGGTTGCGAAGATCCATGAGATTAGCAGGTAATGGCGGCCTTCAAAAGGACTTGGAGAGATTCATTCTCTATCGGCGTAAGAATTACCATGATCCGATGTATAGTTCATTTGTTGTAAATTTTAAAATGTTTCACGGACTTATGGATAACCCTGTATAAGACTATTTGGAATAAAAAGGCAGGCTCCGCATTATGTAGGTAGCAGGCCTAATAGTGTTAGAACGGAGGCCAGTAGGCCTATATACAAAATAGCACAGGGCGATTGCCTCGTTTTTAATTCACATCTATGTAATGCAGCGTATACTCAAAGCCATAAAGCACTCTATAAACTCTATAAACTGCATACGTACACTCATGCAGCAGTATTTTGGGCCAGTTCAATCCATATCCTACCTTCACAATCTGCTTCTCTAAGATCCACATTAAAGCTAGCCATCCAGTGGCCCTAAGAGTGAATCTTATAGAAGCCAATCATAACAGAACATGTTTTCTTTATTCATGTTCTAATTTGAGCAGAAAGTATCTGATACTTCAGTAACTCTAGACAAAATTCTTAAAATTTGATCGTCATCGTTTCATCCAGCCTGAATGACCTCTACGGGATAATTGCCTCTTCCTGCGAACATCAATTTTTGTTTGTTTGATTGGCAGCACTTCATGTAGTACTTTGTATAATGTAAATTGTTACGTACATCTGTATAACGGATTAATAGGATATTGGTGGGAAAGCCAGAAGGGAAGAGACCACAGAGAAGACCAAGGCGTAGATGGGTGAACAATATTAGAATGGATCTTAGAGAGATAGCATGGGATGGTATGGATTGGATAGATCTGGCTTAGGCTATGGACCAGTGGAGGGCTCTTGTGAACACGGTAATGAACTTTCGGGTTCCATAAAATGCTGGGAAATTCTTGAGTAGCTGCAGAATTGGTGGCTCCTCCAGAAGGGCTCAGCTCCATGAGTAAGTAAGTAAGATTATTTTAAGTCAGTCTTGTTATTCTGGTTCTGTTCTTGACTTTTATATTTCCGTTATGGCGTCTTCTAGTACTTTTTTTTTTTCGAAAATCAACGGTGGAAACAAATACAACATATACAGCACCCACAAGTACGCTATAAAAGGATATGATTATTTTCTACTTACATCTTAGTGTTTAGGTCACCAGGCAAAAGTCTCTTCCTTTTTATTCTTCTTCTTCAAGTACGTTCTCCTTCAGTCCACCTACTTGTACCACTTTCCGAAGAACTCACGTGACAAACATCTGTCACGACTGCTTTCTGCTGTACAGCAATTCTCTCAAACAGTTCTCCCGGGTTCGTGACTTGATCAGTAACATTTATTGAACACACGTGAAGGGAACGCGACGAAAAGAGACGTGACATGTTCAGCTCATACCACCAGAGTACCTACAGCGCAGTCGCTACAACACAGAACTGTACAATGACTTACACTTATTGTATTGTAAATGAATCTTGTCACTCCACAATGTTAGCAGTTCACTCGACCGATTACACTGAACAGTACCGTCTGTAGTATAAGAGACGCGGAGCTACACACTAAATACGAAATTCAGTTGTCCACAATACACAGTTAATTTCAGGAAATGAGGTTAAGTTTGATACACAGGTATATGTTTCTCCGTTTACGCACTGTTTTATCACAAGGAGAATTACTTATGTGTTCCTTAAAGTATGGATATTAATATTAGATATGAAACAACCAGTAACTATATTATGAATGGCAATCTTATGTCAATTAAAATGATTACATATAATGTTTAGAATCACTAGAAACAGATTTACGTCACACTGTAACATATCATAAGTTGGACGACTTTCACCAAAATTACTAATGAGATATATCACTGATATTCATTCTTACGGATCTAGGTTCTAGGAAAAATATTAACCGAATCAGTAATAAACACTTTAGTTTTGCCATCTCAACTTAAAACGATGTACACGTTAATATTAATAACAATCGCATCCACCATTTAAAATCGTTCAGGTGTTATTCTGATCGTCTTCTGTTCGACTGACGCGCTCCACGCGGCACTGCCAAGCATTTAGGTTTTACGCGTCTGGGAGGGGATTATGATTCACTTGTCCAAAGATTGTCGTAGCAACCATTACTATGTTATATATTGTAGTAACTATTATAATTATTACATTATTTCCTGAAGTAGAATGGTTTTGGATTTCGTATAGAGGCTTATGACTAATTAAAATATTATAGGTGCACAAAAATATTTGAAACCATAAAAAGTTAATTGTATCCATAGTGTATAATTATTTATGTATCATATATATGGCTTTAAACTACGAATACAATATGTATGTAATTTTTTTAAAATGTGCAAATATAAATTCAGCGTCATTTTAAATGATATTTCACAGACCTTTATTGAAGTTAGTATGTAGGACACATTTACAACGTTATGTCCCTAAAACTGGGGGTACTTTGCAGATTTCAGTTCATTATGTCGACTAATATATACATCTGTTGTGGAACTCTTATGCATTCTAAACCTTTATGGACAGAGTCACTTTCATAAATGTATTAGCGATAAATTAAACACATCAATCAGAAACAGAATCCTTTTATTTTTTACGTAGGCCTGTTTATTCTTGCATATCTGTTACGAACCTCTGGTTTCAAATTTCATCTTTTTAATATTTTGTAAAAAAACGGAATTTGTATTCGTTATAATAAAAGGAGTCCATAGGATTTAGCATAAAGAAACATATAAAATTTGTAGGTGTGGAATTTCGAAGCTTTCAGGTAATATTTCAGTTTTGTCTGAATCTCTCAAGGTAATTAAGAATTGTTAACCTCGCTAAATAATTCAAAACTGTTACCGTTGCAATTAATACACGATGCTAAGACACTGTAAATTTGGATCCAACGTGCTTCACCACCAACTTCATCAAGAATAGCAAAAGGACTTTTCTGTGTAGCAAATACATAGGTATTGTTTTGGAAATAAAGTCCCAAGTACCTCCTATTAACATGTAATGAACCCAGATAAATTCTTAAAAGGGAACAGAAAGGAAAAAAGAAGTTGAATTCCAAACGTATTTCACCAAACTGAACTTTCAGATTTTAAGCAAGCATTCACAGTTACAACATACTTTTTCTTCCTAATAATACTGTGTTACCTTATTCATTATTGCAGTCTCGCTTAGTAATGACGTCATCGGAACCGCATTTCTGTTAAATGTCAGGAAACGGAACAGTAGAATGAACACGGGGCGACTGTTAGACGGAATTAGAAAAAGAAACAGATCTGACGTGGCAATCTCGATAACCTTTTCGAACTTGGCGCTTGTGAAGGTCGGAACGGGCACTGGCGTGGCGCGACGTAGCCTCTGAGGGCGGTCGGGCAAACTGGTTGAGCTGAAGCCATCTGCCCGGCTACAGCAGACGTGGGACTTGCCTGGAGTGGGTGTCGTCAAATCGGAACTTTTCGTCCAGCTTCGGGGACATTTCACATACAAAATCTTAAAGCATTCGATACGAAACGATTTGAAAAACGTGTGAATTACTAGGAAGAAGCCTGTGACAGACAACGGATAAATTCACACTATTTGAAACTTCACAATCTGTATACTTTATCTAATAGTATTAGGGTCATTAAATGAAAGGTGGCAGTAGCATGTAGCACGAATTGAGAATGTGAGAAATGTGAGATTTTGAGGTTCTCCTAGGTATCTGGAGACTTGTACCGTGATAGATGCTTACCTAGGCCGCACCATAGCCCAAGCGGTTAGTTAGTTGCTGGCTTCCCACCGCTTCGATCCCGGGTCTGGTCAAATGGGATTTGTGGTGGACAAAGTTGCGGTGGGGCAGGTTTTCTCCGAGTACTTCGGTTTCCCCTGCCAATCTTCATTCCACCAATTGCTCCACAATCACCCTCGCCTATCATCTGGGGCTGGTACAATAGTCCAGAAGTGGCCGCAGTACAAGGGACTTAGTCGCACCCCACTAGCAATAAGAAAAATAGATGCTTACATGTGTTCTTCTAGAACATGGATAAATATCCACGTTCTGCCTCGATTTTGAGTAGAATAGTCTTAGATATAGAACACTGAGGCAACACGTTCTTCCGAAACATCGGTAAGTATGTGTGACAGCCCAGAAGATAGCATTCTACATCATGAGAAATGTTCCAAAGTGTTGCTAAGAAAACCTCAAGGGAAAATGACTCTTGGTATGGATGGAAAGTTCATAATGAAAAGTTGCTTAGATACAATGTATGAAGCCTCGGACGGACACTCATGGGTCAGTACAGTGTCTAATGACGCGCTCCTATCGAGATCCTCCTTGTGTGTAAATTCCATCTGCTTGCCTCTCTGTGTGCGCATGAATTTAAGTACGTGTATATACTGTTAGATTCATGGATGGTTGGATGGATGGATGGATGGGTATTATTATTATTATTATTATTAGAGGGGATGGGTTCCCCCATGCACTTAGACCACTTATTGGTCCATTGTGCGTCCCCCTTTAATTTATACTGTCGCCATACCCTACGGGTACTGGTGCGTGCTATCAGCCCCGTTCAGCCAACGAGGTCGGCCGTCGGTACCTGATATTTCCCCCATCTACTAGAGGCATTGGAAACTACTTGGGCGGGAAANGTGACCTCCTTTGGAGATATGAGGTTCTTTTACGTGCCGTAAAGCTACGACACGGGACCCACGGCTTAAAGTCCCTCCCGGAGGACTTGTTCCCTGAATTCTTCCGCCCTTAAAAATTCCACGACCTCCGCCGGGTTTGAACCCGCGTACCTTGAGTCATGAGGTGGGAACGTTACCTCTAGACTACAGAGGCCGCTTATGGAAGGGACGGATGGACGGACGGACGGATGTATGTACCCTTCGACAGCGCCTGAACGGTTGAACTAATTTATTCATATTCTACGTGTATATTTAAGAGTTCATCCATTGCAGATAGGTGCCTGATGAACACTAACATTCCAACTCCAAGAACAGGTGTCTTTCAAATGAGCATCAGTGCACAAAATGGCTATTTTATGCAAAACTTATCTAGCTATATTGATTAGATTTCGAAAGTTATGAAGACCATACATAGCCTTAAATAAAGCTAAACCGGCGGCATTTTGAGGCAACTAATGATGCGTGCTCTGGGGGTCCCAAAAAATTGATTTTTTTTTTCTAAATCGACTTTACCGGTGAAACGGAATTCATTTTTGTTCGGTATTCAGAAACCAACAATGTCCAACTGAGCAACAGTGGATTTCGTTTCCGTGGTAACGTAGTCAGCCCATTCCTCTAATCATGCTTTCTTTTATTTACTTTACTCTGCTCTTTTCCTCTGTTTTCTCCTTTAGACTATTCTTTGCCTCTTTCTTCATTTCCTTGTTTCTTTCTTGTTAATTCACCTTTAAGCAACCTTCAGCTTCATCCTTCTAACCTACACCACGTGTTATCGAATTAATGAAATGTAACAGTGCAGTGTATCTGTTCTGGGAACACGTCAGGACACCCACTTTCCTCCAAATGCTCCAGTCCTTACGAACTGTCAGGTAATAATTATACAATTTCTGATCTATTTCTGTACGTAATTACATTGCAAGTTCGGATTACTTCAAATCTATGCCGAAGTTTCGCACTGTCTCCATATCTGTAATCGTTAACATACAAAAAACAGTTTTAAGCAAAGTTCGTAGGCATGTTTACATTCCAGCTCCATAAAAAATTATACGTATAGAGCTCCAGAGGTCATTATTTGTCACCACCAAACGGAAAATATAAATATAGATAGCCTAACTCCCCCCCCCCATATTATGTTGCTAAATATAACATAAAAATATATTTTAATAGACTTCCGTCATTTTTAAGACTTATTGCATTACAAACTAAAGGGGCACGCGGTAGCATAGTTGGTTGAGGCACTATGCTACAAGCCGCAAGGTCGCGGGATGGAATCCCGATGTTATATTTTTTAATAGACCTAATCCTTCCAGACGCACTATGGCCCTAGTGTCGAATCAGCCTCTAACAGAAATGAGTACCAGGAATCTTCCTAGGAGGTAAAAGGCAGCCGGCGCATACGGCTGACAACCTTACGGCCATCTGTGAGCCGATTGTCTAGAAAATGTGAGAGCCTCGACGTCTCGCAACCCTATGGGCCTCCATGGCCTGTTTCAGGGGTAGCTTTACCTTTCTTGCATCCCTTACTTTAAAGCCTTACCTTGTGACTCTAACGGCACATTTTCAGGGTGAATCTTATAGAACCGGCCCGATGAATTTGCTAATAATTCCGCAGGTGATGCATAGAAGACATAATAATCCGTGGGCCGTGCTGAGTCGAATGGTGTGCGCATGATCCGGCAAGTGGCAGCCCTTATGCTGCAAGGTCAAGGACAATCCCGAAACGTGTCTGCAGTGCGCAGGCGTCAGTCATGGAGTTCACTGTTGAACAGCGAGTGTTTCTAATGCCTACTTGAAAACGGCGGACACTTTCAACACCTGGTCTGATCACGGCACACAATCCAAGATAAGATATGTGTAAATTACTTTAATATCTGTATGGTATATTTTATATTACAGCTCATTTCGTCGGGCCGGTTCTATATGAATCACCCTGTACTATTACTGATGGGTCTGTACGAGGGTAGGCGAGATATAATTTGAGGATTTCACGCCGGTAACTTCAAAGCTTATTGTCTTCTGGGATGTGACGCAGAATAGTCTAGTAAAAGTTTACTGATGTGCCTTCGAAACGTCGGTAAACGTCTGCCACATTAAACAACACCCCATCCCCCAAGATAGCAATCTTAAAAGAGGACGGACACTGCTACATATGCTTTCAGATATGACAATAATGGCGAGGTACTGTTCATCACAATGGAATTATGCCTCCTGATTGGATGATCGATTAACTGTACATCTGA